AAAGGAAAGGAAAGGAAAGGAAAGGAAAGGAAAGGAAAGGAAAGGAAGGAGGGAGTTGATGACAAGGAGATATAATGACTTTCTGGTCTTTTTTTTAATATGGATAATCCTTGAATTAGGATCACAATTGAGCTTAAAATGTAAAAGAGCTGAACTGGCTCAAACCAAAGGCCTATCTAAGTTTATTTTTATTTTAATAGTGTCCAGATGCTTATGAGAAACCAGTAACACAACTTTAATATAATAAGATCCTTCTGCTTATATTTTCTAGCATCCGTGTTAAGAGGCATATTGAGACTCTATCAGAGTATATTGATGAACTGGAATAGAGCTGAGTAACAAGGTTAGCCAAGAGAAGCTGAATTGAGGGCTGAAACTAAAAGAGAGAACCTGGGCATAGTTTATCTCTGTTCTGCGCTCAGCTCTAAAGTGAAAGAGAAACTTGCTTGCTTGCTTGTCTGCTGAAGTCAAGTTGCTGCTCTGCTCTGAACCTGTAACATGTCTGCTTCTGTTTGAGTTTGCTCCATGTTGGAGAAATCTACAACTGGTATTGTAAAATTCACTTTATCTGTTTATAAAGAAGTTAAATGAAGCCTCAGTCATCGGTGTTTTCTTTTCTGGCACTGAATTTACGCTGCAATACTCTGAACAGACTCCCATTTGGGAGTGGAAATAACACAGGTAGTCATTGATTTAAGACCATAATTGAAAAATTTTAATGAAACAGTTACGTGAATTTTGCCCCATTTTATTACCTCTCCTGCCACCATTGGTAAGTGAATCATTGCAGTTAAGCTAATAACATGCTTGCTAAGTGAATTCGACTTCCCCATTGACTTTGCTTGTCAGAAGGTCGCAAAAGGGGATCACATGACCCCGGGACGTTGCAACCATCATAAATATGAGTTTTGTTCACGTGAGCATGGGGATGCTACAATAGTTATAACTGTGAAAAATGGTCACACCTCTTTTTTCAGTGCTGCTGTCATTTGAATCATCACTAAACGAACTGTTGTAAGTCAAGGACTATCTACAGTCTACATTATTGCAATAACGATAATGAAATTCTTACTCATATTAAGTTCATTTCATCACTGTAACACATTGCAACAAAGTAGTACTATACACATTATGTAAATAATATCCCCATTTGGAAAGTCTTGAACTAACCTCTATGTGTAGAATTCGTAGATTTGAAATCAAATCCCAGTGTGGGACTCCATTTTTATCATAACCTCTAAAGCCAAATCCAGCTGCATTATTAATTGCTTCTGCTGCAGGGAAAAATAAGGAATTGTAGAAAGCTATAAAAATATTATAAATGGTAGCACTGCTTTACACAAAGAACTTTAAAGAAGTATATTTTGCAACTACTGCTGAAGCTATCACTAAACACCAAATATTAGCATAACTACATTTCTCCCTATTTCTATAATATGTAACACAAATTATGAAAAAATACATTTCAAATTGAATGTTTTAAAAACAATGTAACTGTTTCTTTTCCTAAATCTGAAGCCAGATTAGTATTCACACTTACATATTTTATAGGCTTCTCAGTACATTCTGGATGTTGGCAATATTTCATATTAAAAATAAATTGTGAAACTATTAAAGGAATTCTTTTCCTAGAAGTTACGATAAATGAAAGTGTTAAATCACATGATTCATATGACCACTGGATTTTTAAAAAGAAAAAAAGACCCTTTAATTTTTTGAATAATCATCAATGTTTACCCAATAGTAGAGTAGAGTAGCTTTTTTGTTTCTTTCTGTTTTCTATGTTTCCATGTTTCGGTATCAAATTAAGGTACAGATAACTGAGAAAAACAGCAGGATTATTACTATTACCAGTGCTGAAATTAACTATAATCCATTATAGCCTTTGATTCATTTGCCATTCCACAAATTGGATTTAAATTTAATTAAAAATGGATTTTAAAGTCAGATATGAAGAATTTCCTGCAATCTATTTAAAGGGCATATAAATTAAGATGATCAAAACAATCTGGGATAAATTTAAACAAAACAAATACAACTTTTAATATTTCATTAACAATTAATAATTGGCTTACACCTTGATTAAGATGGAAATCATCATTCCATCTAAGGCTCCCATGCAATTCAAATAAAGAATGAATGAAATTGCATATTATGAGCAATCTTTCCTAAGACATTCTTAGCTACCACACTCGCTTATCATACTTTTATGTTTAAATCTGAGCTAAAAACACCTAATAAAACACTTTATAATTAGCCATTAAAAAAAAACAGTGCTTCTAAAAGAATTCCTTTGAACATAGTTCTTCCTTTGCCCACAAGAGGGCACTCTATTAAACATATTCTTTCAGCATTCTGTTATAAAACTTGTAAAATGAACACTCTTCCCCTTCCTTCCCTCCAAACTTCTTACCCAAAGTCCATGCAAAATAATACTTCGGCCTGGCAGCCATTAGTGACAGGTATAGGTAGATAATCTTTGTAGGAAATGATGCTGTTGCTCTGAATTGGTCATCAATGTTGTATTCTACAGGGAAAGTTTTGCTAACAGTCATATGAAATAATAAGGATAGTCCACACACTACAAGTTTCTGCGCCACAGCTATCTGAAACATGCAAGATATAAGACATTGTAAGCATCTTTTATGCAGAAACCTTTTAAACAGAATTGTTTATGACTGATTTAATATATCAAGCATATTGCTCTTGCATGATTAAAATAAAATAGACTTTCAGGGATGGGGAACGATGGCCCTTTTATGACTTGTGGACTTCAACTCCCAGAATTCCTGAGTCAGCAACAGTCCACAAATCTTAAAGGGGCCTTCATTTCCCACCTCTGCTTTAAACCCTACCTTTCCAATACCAAATTAAGACAGGGAGGGTGGACTAATTGGCTAAAAAGGAAAGAACATCTTTTGCCTAGCAAGAATGTCAAAGGAAAGAGACCAGAAGAAACGAAGGCCTGATCCTTCTGAAGACATGGCACTCAAGTGTGTGTGCCAATAGAAATAATACAGCTTTCTTAGCTCTCTTCTAAATAAGCTCATATATAAAAACCCAGCTACCAAACAAAATGGAAATAAATATAATCTTTAGGATCCTAACTGCCATGAAGGGTTGTTTGAGGATTTTTTATTATTACTACCAGCATTATTTCTAATCTTAATATAGGAGTCTCTGTTTTAAAAGGCCATTTGGGATTTCTTGTACATATTAGGGATACATAGCACTCACCTATTAGGGAATGGGGCATTTTGTTATTGAATTGATTAGTTTTGCATATTCCTTAATCATATCACAAAACATACAGCTATGTAACATGCAACCAGAGATTATACTCTTCAACCTTTTAACACTATTTCATACCTTTAAAAAAAGTTCTGAGCTACACATGCGATATGAAAATATTTTATAGCCCACTATTTCTCAGCAATAGATAATCATTTTAACACATTTAATTTGGAATTGTGTGGCCATAAATTAGCATTCAGTCAGTATAACCATGGAATAAAATTTAAAAAACAAGAATGGCCTATAGATGCAGTACATCAATCTACATGATATGCAACTTGGTAAATGTAATAGTGATTTTAAAAAATATTTCTTACAACTAAATGTAAGTATGCTAAAACTATAACTTTTACTCCAATATGCAGGTGATGTGTTTCTGGAATTTTATTAGCATCCTGACCCTGGTTCTTTATTGTTATTATTTTTTCTCTTGCTACACTAATTCATTTTACTATTGTTGATATTTCTGCATACCCATGTAGGTTGTGATTTGGTTAATTACTGTGTATGATTTTATCTCCTTGTCTTGTGCAAACATCAGGATGTAAGTTTATGCATGTCTTGTCAAAAATGAATCTCAATTGCTTGGTCTGGTTTAATGCTAAACATGTACACATGAAATTGCAATCTTAATATGGTTTAATTAGCAGCTTGCAATATTCTGTCAGACTCTATGTATTTGAAATATATTAAAAGAAGTTTATGTGGCTTGGCTATATAACTGCAAAGAAAGCAATTTAAGGAAGAAACAAAACAACAAATCCCAAGGGGGGGAATCAAAACCTGAAAATGGTATTTATTGAAATAATGAGAATCCTTAGTCTAAGAAGCCAAATAAACTTCAGTAGAGAATCTTTTTCAGAGGCAGTATATAATAAAACATAGTTTGGAAAGAAAACCTCACTTCTCTGTCTCTGAAAAAATGTTCTCATCAAAATGCATTAGACTTCTTTTTAAAGAAATAGCTTTATGACAAGATAAAGCTTTGCTTTTCTCACTCTTAAAAATTAACCCACAGATGTCATTTCTCATTTCCTACATTTGCTTCTTTCAAACTTTCACACAATAACACCTAATACAAAGTATAGGAAGACAATAACAACAACAGAAAGGGCATCCATTAAGATATCATACCTAAAATTACTAGTCACAGAGGGCAATGAAATAGTATTTTAGAGTTTTAATACATTTAAGCTAAATAGGATGTCAAGTAGTACTATATACATCAGCATTTAAATTCTATGCTATTAAATCATTGTTTACCCTCTCACCCCCATTTAAACTGTAAGGGATATTAATAAAAAAAAACCTTTATTTTGTTATTAAGGATTTTTATATCTAGGTCTAAAGCATAAAGAATTGCAGTGTTTAAACAGAAACAATTTTTAAATATGCTATTCCATATTCACTGGTAAATCCAGCAAAGAAAATAAAAGTTCCAACTGCAAATATACAAATGAATATGTAACTGAAAGGATTTATAAATAGGTAATCAAATTTAATAGCTTCCATAGAAAGAAAATTTTAAGAAGAAAAATTTATTTGGAGGAGTTAACAATATATTTTGAACAAAAGTTGTTTTAATAATTAATTAATAATTGATCCCAGAAGATACTTTATGAGTTAATTTATTAGAAGTTGGGATTGTGTGCCTTAGGTTATGACACAGTAACTCATGGCAACAAAAATGCAAGAAGCATTTAAGGTAATTCCACAATGGGATACAATTTTAAAATGAAGCAAGGTTCATGTAGAAGATAAGTTTCATTAGCAGGCTGTATAGAATTTATATTTTGATATGTTTAATGAAGTAAAGCCATTCTGTAATTCCTCCACTGTAATTTTTGATGGCAATAACATCACACAGACCTCAAATTCTAAATACTCTGTTTCTCCAACAATATGCCCCCCCAATAGGAAGACCCTATGTTTTCTAGGCATAAAATGAAATTAAGCCCCTCCCCCCAAATTTAGGCCTATTTTAAAACATGTGAAATTGGGGGGCGGAAGACGGGGGGAACTTGCCATTAGGAGCGCCCTGCAGGTAGCTACACCTCGCCATCAGCCACTCCTAACAGCCGATCATGGCGGAGCACAGAGGGCTCCCTACCCCAACCAAGCGCCTTTGCTGCAGACCCTGGTCAGCAGACAGGTGGCATCAGCATGGATGTCCGCCAGCAGCGTTTCAGCCGCTTCTCAGGCCTCCATAGCTTCCATGGTTCCTGCCAGTGCTGGCACCTCTGTCACCAGCACTGTCTCCAACAACAGCATCTGAGTCGCTCCCGCTTTTCCCCCATTCCCCGTAACAACAGGAAAAACACATTTTGAGGTACCTGGGAGCACTGCGCGCTGCGTTTTGGTTTAATCCCGAGCGGCTGGGTGGGCGTGAGAAGAGCCGAGTGAGAGTCTCTGCTGCTGCTACCCTTGGTGCTCCAGCCTCAAGCTCTGCAAGTTTCCAAAAGTCCTGGTGCACAGCCCTTTCCTACATTCCAAGCGCTCCCAGGCTGAGCTGCAGCTCTCCCTCCCTCGCCAGAGCTGTCTCCAATAGTGGCAGCAGCAGTGGGAACTGTGGAAGCATTTCAGCTGCTTCTCGGGTGGGGGAGCCACCTCCGTAACTTCCACGGTTCCCGCCACTGCTGCCGCTGTTGTTGGAGATGGCACTGGTGAGAGAGGGACAGCTGCAGCTCAGCCTGGGCACACTTGGAATGCAGGAATGGGCTGTGTGCTGGGACTTTTGGAAACTTGCAGAACTCGAGGCTGGAGCACCAAGGGTAGCAGTAGCAGAGACACTCGCTTGGCTCTTCTCACACCCACCCAGCCACTCAGGATTAAACCAAAATGCAGTGCACGGCGCTCCCAGGTACCTCAAAATGTTTTTTTTTCCTGTTGTTACAGGGATGGGGGAAAAGTGGGAGCGACTCAGATGCTGTTGTTGGAGACGGCGCTGGCGAGAGAGGTGCCAGCCCCAGCAGGAACTGTGGAAGCTATGGAGGCCTGAGAAGCAGCTGAAACACTGCCGGCAAACATCCCCGCCGCTCGCCTGCTGACTCGGGTCTGCAGCAAAGGCGCTTGGTGGGAGTAGGGAGCCCTCCATGCTCCGCCATGATTGGCCATTAGGAGTGGCTGGTGGTGAGGCATAGCTGTCCGCAGGGCGCCCTAGGCGAGGATGCGCAGGGGGGAGAAAGAAATTAATTCATCCCCGAGAAGACGTCCTAGCCGTTTTTGGGGGGCTCAAAAAAAAAAGACCCAGCCTTATTATATGAGAAACACGGTATATATTCCTCTTCAAGAAGTTCCTGTCGCTATACAAAGTTAATAGATCCAATATCTTTTGCTCAACTAAAATATTAGAACAGCAAACAGCTACAAATAATAACTATACCAGTACAGTATGTGCCCATGTATATAATCCTCATACCCATATACAATAAATAATTTTGGCAGATTACATTGTTGAATCACTATGCCAAACAATTTGTTAGAAATTTTAAATTATTATAGAAAATGTATCATATTGAGTACGCTGTATCATATCATATATAAAATATACACTTGTCTGCTCCTAAAGGACATTTGCTTCCTGGTGGAGATAAATTAGAAGAGTAGCATCATAAAATGATAAAAGGTTGTCTACAATGGTTCAATTTAAGAACAATTGTTCACAGAAAAACTCCTTACTGAAGGGAAAATAGCTTACTTTTCTTAACTCTGCTCTGCTTAACTCAGAGCTGATATCCATTAATCTTTTCATTCATTGAATTTACATTCTGTTCCAGAAAAGAGAGCTCTAGATAGACTTTCCATATTACCCTTTTAAAATATGGAAGTAGTTCACCTTCTGGTAGAATTAATATGTCCAATTTGCTCATTTTAGTTAGGATGCTGAGAGTTCCCAACCAAGAAATGTGTTTTTCTGTGGGGGTCCTCATATTGTGAAATAAGCTCCTTTGGGGGGGGGGAAGACTTGGATCACCAGTAAAAGTTACAGCTAGCACAAAATATACAATCATACTTCTAACACGATACTCCTGACATGTGAGAATAATCCATATCTTTAAAATGCTGCGTTGGCTGCTAGATTTCCAGACCCAACTAAAAGGGTCCTTTAAGCCACCGCTTTGGGTTGTATTTATCAGACTTAAATCTGCCTGTCCTTAAACCTGGTCTTTTATACAGGGGGTCTTGTTGCAAATCTCTTCTGTGAGGCACCTGAGATATGGACTGGTACACACTTTTCTCTGTAGTGGCTCCCATTCTGTGGAATACTCTTCCCTAAGAGAGATGGATGTTCCCAACACTACCACCATTTCCC